GGGTATTGTGGAAGTAAGGAACCCATTTCCACAAGAAACTGCTACCAAACTTATTACACTTATGTTCCACCTGCATTGCTTCCAGCTGGCTGAAAAGCAGCTTTCAAGATACTACATGATATACAGTGGAACAAAAAAATTAGAAACACTGAAATCACTAATATCTCAATCAACAATTAAACAACATGTGAAACATGAACAAAACAAATAAAATATGATAATAATTGATGAGATGGAAATAAGTTACTAGGAAAGACTATATCTAACGTGCTACGTACTAAGAGTATAAGTCAAAAAAAGACGTTTTGGGATTCTTCTATATTTTGAATTTTTGATGTTTATTAGTTATTTCTGTACTAGGAGTATAAGTCAATAGCCTGTTTTTCATATATAAATATTGATTTTATTCCAACAGTATAACTTCTAATTTCAAAAGTCTGCTTTGTATTAAGAGTATAAGTCAACTTATATTGTTAGTACCTTCCGTTTTCACTTATGCAGCTTGACTTATACTCCTAGTATTTATACCACGTGTTAGGTGTTTCTAGTCAGTGATGCCAGATCATGGAAATTTTTCCATATTGTAGCCTTTTTGTACAAAAGGAAATTATAAAAATAAAAAGGAAAAAACAAAATTTGAGACATTGGGAGGGCGTTTGTATTGAAAAAAATGTAAATAATCAAAATTTAAGCATAAAATTTCAATGAATTAACAAATTTAAAAGTGGTGCGAAAAGGAAATTTCGAGGTTATGAGTGTGCAGAGTTCGGTAGTAGTTGTAAACTTGGCAAACCTGTTTATAACTTTCGTTCTGTCAAAAGTTTAAGAAGGTAGTTATTGTTATTGTTTATAAATTGTTTCTTAATTTTTCGAAATACTGAGTAGAAAATTATAAAAATAGCTAAATCCCATTTAAAACAAAAACATGAATAATTAAGTATTTTTTTTATTTAAGTGTTCTTAAAGTAGGTTGCTGTGAAAGTATCAGTGTCCTCTTATAAATATTTTTTAAAAATGAGTAGAGGAAAGCAAATTCTAAAATTATTAGAACAAAAGGATGATTCTTCATCTACAAAATTAGGTGAGTTAAGTTTGTTTTATTTGTTTAAAAGTTGCTAACCAATGATGAAATTATTACACCAACAATTTAACATATTTTCTTTGCTGCTTGCAGGGTATAACGAAATGCCTAGACTAAGTCTCAATCAACTATTGAATCAAAAAGATGTTATTGATTCAACTACGGAAGAAATTATTGGGATTGAGATGACCATAGATCCCCATACTGGTAAGAACTCCCATTCGTATAGGTATCTGTAGATAAATACCTAATACTTTTTACTTATAGACATATGTGCTTTTTAGGCATTGTAAATCAAATTGAACCCTTGACAACAAGTACATGTGAGCTTACTGAAGCTACCACACAACAAAATACAGATAATGGAGAATTAATTGATATTAACCGAAATGCTCCTGACCAAACGATTGGTTTTGAAACGATGCAAGAACCTAATTCCGATGACATTGAGGGCACCATACAAGAAATAGAGAATGTTGTCCATGAATTTTTAGAAGGTAAAATTAGAATTTCATGAGTAGTATGTTTATAAGCAAGAATGGTCCCTTCCTTTAATAAGTAACTTATTTTTTGTTAGCAGGTGAAAATGAAGTAATAAGTGGGGAGCCAATAAATCATTACCAAATGGATAATAATTCTGCGTCTGAGGAAGATATAGAAGTTTTTTCTCCACACTCAAGGAGCACAGAAGAAGCGAAAAGCACAACGAGAGTCAAGTCAATGTAATAATATTAGCACCTCAATAGCTGCTGGTAAACCAGCTAAGTATTCAAAAAAGAGAAGAATTGAGAAATTTCAGCAACGAAATGCTGGCCAGAGGTATGTAACACTGGATGGTAAAGAAAAACCTGCCAGAGTAATGACAGCTTTGGGCAGTTGTCGAGCAAACTGCAAAGAGAAACTCTCCATCGAGATACAAAAAAAAATTTTCAAGGAGTACTGGAGTCTTGGTAGCCGTGATAAAAGGGCAAATTTTGTGTCAAACATGGTTGAAAGTATTGAACCTAAAACTATGCGTAAACGAACAGATGATCCAAATAAAGAAAAGTTTAGGCAGTGGACACATAACTTTTTCTTTAAAATAAATGGTACAAAAAGCAAAGTATGTCGCGGTTGTTTTATGAAGGTACTAGGTGAAACTAATATGTTCGTGACACTTGCCATTTCTTCATCTCTCAAGTCAACATCAGGCATATCAAAATGTGATCAAAGAGGCAAAGAACCTCCACCATCAAAAATTTCAGATGTGAGAATTAAACATATTCAAGATCACATAAAATCATTTCCAGCATACGAGTCACATTACTCAAGAAAGAAAAGCGTGAAAAAATATCTACCACCCTATTTAAATTTAGCAATTATGTACTCGCTGTACCAGAAAAATGTCCACAACCCTGCTTCTAGAGCAATATATGAACGTGAATTCCATAAGCAAAATATTTCCTTCAAAAAACCAAAAGTAGATACTTGTCACAAATGTGACACTCTCTTGATGAAGATAAAAATTGCTCAAAATGAACATGAACGTAAGATTGTGGAAAATGAACGAAAAATGCACCTAGACGAAGCAGATTTAGCGTATGACATGAAAAAGGAAGACAAAGTAGATGCTAAGCTAAACAAAGATGAGAAAATTTGCTTTGCGTTTGATCTACAGCAATGTTTGCCTACACCTTACCTTAATACGTCAGTAGCCTTCTACAAGAGGCAGTTGTGGACTTTTAACCTTACTATGCATAATACAAGTAGTGGGGCAGTTAAGTGCTACATGTGGCATGAGGCGGAAGGTGGCAGAGGTGCTAACCAAATTGCGACGTGCCTCTATCAAGAACTTTCTTCTCTCCCAATATCAATTAAAAACGTCATTTTGTATTCTGATTCGTGCGGAGGACAAAACAGGAACTCTCATGTTTCAGCAATGTTTTTAACTCTAATGCAAAAATGTCCTCAACTGCAATGCATAGATCATAAATTCATGGTGAGTGGTCACAGTCATCTTGAATGCGATGTTGACCACGGGATGATTGAAAAGCAAAAAAAAACTTTGCAAATGCCAATTTCTACGCCATACGACTGGTACCAGCTAGTTCGCACATGTGGAAAGAAAAAAAAGTTCAGTGTTGTTGAACTAAATCACAAGGATTTTTTAGATTTTGCAGCTCTCTACAAAAAAGATCTGTTTTTAAGGACAAAGGATGAGGTCGGTCTTTCCTTCAAATGGACAGATATTCGTTGGTTGAGATATACAAGAGAGCCAGCAAAAATGTTTTTTAAATTGACCTTAGATAAGGATGAGCCATTCCGTTGCATTGATCTCCATCGTCGCAATAACACAGACGATGTTACTCTAGAACCTCCAAAGTGTTACAAAAAAAGTCTGCCAATTTCTGTGGAAAAGAAAAAGGATATCATGGCCCTTTTAACCCTAATACATCCCCAATTTCATAATTTTTATAAGTCTATGAAAACATCAGCAGGGGTAAAAAACACATATCCAGGCTCCGATTCTGAAGATTCTGAATAACAATTTTATTGTAAGTTAATTTTAGAACTTTAATTGTAATGTTTTTTTATAATTACATTTCATCATGTAGGTAAAGAATAAAGAGTTTAATTTAATATTTTTCTGTTCATGATTATTTTGATCACTTGTAAAATCCTCAATACACTCAAAACTGGCAGGACTAAGAGTATAAGTCATGAAGCAAACATGGCCTTAACAGTACAAGTCAACTAATATTTATAATTAATGTGGTATTATAAAAATAGAAAGTAAAATAGGTAATTACTACAGTTATGAATCATATTTCATCATCATTTTGATATGTAGTTGTAACAGTTATTTCAAAAGTGGTAATAAAAACTTTGAAGAGCCCTAGTGAAAAATTGATATTTTTGACTTATACTCTTAATACATAGCACGATAGATATACAAGAATGAAATATATAATGACAAAGAAGAATTAAGGTAATAAAATGGTTTTTGAAGATCTAAAATCAGAATGAAGAAAAAAAATAGAAAAAAATTTGAATTCAACAGATACATCAGAAATGACAAAAACATAAAAGACCTTGGGAATGAAAAAATAATGACAACAATGGTAATACCTATAATTTGAATTATAATTTAAATCTGTGGTGTGTGGAAATATTTTCTCTAATATAGAACCATAGTTTAAAAAAAAAGAATTGTTTATTAATAAATGTTTCATAAAAATGATCCATTATTATAGAACGATTAAATGAACCAATTAACACTTAATTAACAGTAAAAAATAAACTGCATAATATAAAATAGTGGTAGGTATGAGAAACAAAGTATGTACAAAAAATGAATAGTATATTTACCAAAATATATTATGTGCATGGTTGAATCCAGACTTCTTAACTTTCCAGCATTGTTAAGACAATTTGGTGCAAATTATATTTCCACTAGCAACCATTAAATATTTGAAGTTCGATGCCAGTTTCTTTGCCCATTTAATAATCAATAATAACTGTAAATAATGAACACTGATTCCTCCACTCATTTTAAACCTTTTAAGAATTATCTGGTTTTATATTATAAACTGATTCTTTTTGACTTATTATATACTTAATTGGCTTTATACCTGTATATGCACCCATCGCTTAAATAATGATGACTTCATAGTTCTAGTATGTATTATTTTCACATGCCGACGATTCTGATATTTATTTGTTGTGTTTTTCACTTGCTGTGTATGTTTCTCTCACATGTGTATGTATTTGTAAATGATTGTTTCTAATTTCCCTCGTGTAGCAGATATTTCTGTTTGATACTTCCAATTTAACCTTCAAGGTTTTTTTATTTGCCATTATATCTATTTTCATGATGATTATAATCAATTTACAACAATTTTTAGAGAGTACAGCTTTTCAATCATTCCATTTTTTTTTTCTGTTCATTCATTTCAATATATCCTACACCTTCCATACCTATATTTTGCTCTACTTTTGAAATGTATAATAATTACCAGCTGCTTATATCTAGTTTATTCTTAAAAATTAATTGAATTTATTCCTATTAACATATTTTGAAAATCTTGCTTTTTTTATATTTTTTTAGTGCCACTCACAGTCATATCTGCTTTTTGGTATTGATTTTATCTAATTAAGAAAAAATATTCAAAGTGCATTATTTTTTTAGTTCTCTGTTCTTTATAGTACAAAGTAATAGTGATTAGTTTATTTTGTAATAGTTCAAAAAGTATAAATCTAGTAGTTATTAGGCAAACAAGAAGAATTTCACACCTTGTTCTATTGTATATAGATATATAAATTAATTTAGGATTGAATATTTTGTTTTGTACTTACATCCACCTATTTCTTGATGTACATATTAAAACTCCTCTAAGTAATAGCTACTTAATGATTAAGTTCCTTATGAGTGATATATATATATATATATATATATATATATATATATATATATATATTATATATATATATATATATATATATATATCCATGTCATAGCCAGCAAGAAGTGCACAAAGAGATAGGCAAAAACTTCAGTGAAAGGATGCTGTAGATGATCATATTAGAAAAATAGGTGCAACAAACTGGCTACAGTTGACAACGGATAAGGCTGACTGGCGTAAGAGACTTGGAAAGATTGAGGCTCTATTATAGGTCTGAAACACCAATGATGGCGAGGGTGTGTATTTTAACCAAAAGACCACATCACCAGCTCATGATAAAATTTCTTTGCAAATAATCAAAGAACTTGAGAGGTTTATTGATATATTAAGTCAACAATTAATTTCGTTTAAACATTTTATGAAGAATATAACTTTTACTATTGGATTAAATGTAAATAAAGTTTGTAGGGGATTTTAAATATTTTAACACAATTTGAAATCAAATAAAACTTTTAAGTGTCCCATAACTACCAGATGTACCTTAAGGTTTACAAATTTTAACTTATTCAAAATATTCTGATTTAAATTGATCACTGACTGTAATTGATTAGAGATTAAAAGTTAAAACCTTACCATTCAGATTTTTTCATGATTTCATTCAATATTTTATCATATTTAGTTTAACCTGGCTAACATTTTATATTTCAAACTTTGATAGATTCACTGTAAATGTTTCTTAATGAAGAGAGGCACTTTTCTTTGGTTCACAGCTCCTCTACTAGGACCAACTGTTTCCAAGTAATAAATATAATAAGTTTACTTAATTGGTGTTCTCCATTACTGTCCCTTACAAACAATAAGCTGTGTTGATAAAGACAGAACTGTAAATACATTAAAAAGGTAATAAATAAATTATGTACACCTATAAACGATATCACACATGTAAAAAGTCTTTTAAAAGAGTAGCACGTCGTTTTTCAGCAATATCCATTTGGTTTTCTAAGTCTCCTCTATCAGTAGTTTCAGCTCTCTCTATTTTCCACGAGAGATTTTCTATTTCAGCTTCTAATTGAGCTTGCTGGTATTCCAACAATTCTTTTCTAGACCCTGACTCCATATAATAAGCATAAGGATAAGTATATTGCAAAGTATATCTACATTTAGCAAGAAGGCTTGCTGCAGTGAACAAATACTGCCAATCTATCCATGTTCCTAAACCTGACATAACCTTTTGGTTAATTCTAAACCTCATTTTTTCCAATGTCTGTTCTTCTAATTTTAATGATTTGGAATGATTTTCCCACCGTTCGTAATAGTGCAAATATTTTTTTAGTGCTTCTCTAGCTTGAGCATGTACTGATTCATATGCTATATTTGGATTTTCTCTATATCTGGAACATTCGTAATATTCTGAACCATGTGACTTCCAGTCACCTAAACACATCCAACAAAAATCATGTTTACAGTTATAGCATTGCATATGATTGCAACCACCATTTTTTTCAATACAGATGTGGCACTTGGGACAGTCTTTTGTATGTGCACTAATATAATTAGCTGTTTCACTATCATCTGCACATTTTGTTAACCACTTCTTTATTACTTGACATTCTGTGGGTGCATGATAATCACATCCACATTTAAAACAAAAAATAGTTTTGCAATGATTACAACTTGCCCTTTTTGCTTTTATCTCTTTACTATGTACAACTATAGAACAATTTGGACCGGGACAAAATCGTAGTTGAGGATGAGATTTCACATAATCTTGAAATGAATACTGTTGATATTTTTGCCTCATACTGGGACGCTGTAATTGTTTTAAAACAAAATCTTCTGGTGCTAGTACTATACAATTTCTAGCCATGCAAGCTATACCTGTAGAAATGCCCTGATTTATTTGTACTTCAAAATGCATTGTCCAGCAATCTTTACAAAACATATGAGCACAAGATAGACTATAAAATTTATCTAAAGGTTGAACAGTTACACAGACTGGACAACCAATATATCTAGTCAAAAGTAAATTACTTGGAGGTGTTGAAGGTTCAATTCTAGCTGCTATAAGTGTATTTCTAGAATTTTCATTAAATTTTCTAGTTACTTCTTGTATATTCCACTGGTGACTATGTAATAAAACCTTTGCAAGAGAAGGTGATATTTGTAAATTATTACTTAAACTTTCAACAGTTTCATTCAAAAGTCTATCAACCTGTTCTTCTAAAAGACAATTAAATTCAAAATACTCGGGATCATTTTTCTTAGGATCTACCTGTTCTACATCAAAATCATCGTTGGTGTTATAATATTCATCACAAAATTCATTGTCTGAACAATCTCTATCAGATTCACTACCCTGAGAAGTAGTAACAGTTTGTTCCATTATTTCTAGATTTAAAAACAGATTTACTCATATAGGTTCTTTAAATTTAAGAAAAACATATATTAATTCTATTGCCGAAATAAAAATTTCCCACTGGTAGATATTTCACTTTAGCACTTTTGTTGAAGATGACCAAGGTTCACGATCCGAGGATCGTAATAAACTGATTAACTCCCGAATAATTTTACAATCAAATATCAAGTCTTCAGATGAAGAGAATTTAAAATACGCATGGTTTTGTTACTTTTCCAGACGAAAACAATGGTAATTTATAAATATAACATTCTGTATCAAGCCATAATTATAACCTTAAAACGACAATTGACGTTTAGAGTGACATGGCAGTACGTCAAAAACATTTTCATGCCGTTTTTTAAAGATGTTCCGAAAATATATTTTAAAATCTGGATGTCATTTAAGCGTCTATATTCTTTGGTCATATAAAACTTGCTTTCTTATTTATTTAGATTTAAAGCGACCTTTTATTAATACTACAAATTAATAGCAAGGATAGATAATAGAAGAGAAATTATTATTGTACTATGGCGATCTTTTATTTTTTGGCTTACTTACCTTAAAATGTTATAGTTGTAATATTAAAATATAAAATTATACTTTATAATTACATTATTGTAATTTAAATAGTCTTAATTGGACATTGGATACGAATATGTGGAATGATGACCAATTATTGAAGTGAAAACTTCTTTATTCTCACACTATGCTCTAACCATGGATAAAAAATAATATAGTGGCTATCGCTATATCCACGGAATAATAAACAATCAGAATGCCCACTTTGCTTGAAAAAATAAGTACGCGCATCTCCTTCGCGCAGACGGAATCTGCCATGTTTTAGTCGGAACCAGTGCTGTTCAGTAAATTTTATCTGGTGTACATGGAAAAATTAACCCGGTTTAATTTATTTGCGGCAGCTATAGACATAATATGCACTATTTTATTCGTACTTTTAGTTGAAGAATAGATTAAATTATTTCAAATGTACTAAAAATTACAGTTCTGTCGTAGCTTGTCACAAATCTCTGAATTTGAGTCTGTTTTCGCCTAAAATATGACGATCGCGTGCTGACAAACTTCAAAGGCATTTGAGTGTGGGCATTATGATTGTTATTTAATTCTGTTTTCTTAATCTGTTTGTTTATTTAATTTTAGTTAATTTAGTGACTATAATCTACTGCCCAAAAATCGCTCGCACTTGTTCGAATCTTCGAATACATTTCACAAATTGTGTTCTCAATGAAAGTACACAAATACAAGAGAGTACAAGAAAGCAGAAATGAAAAATCAATGATAGATTACTTTTTGGTAAGTAGCAACAAATAGAAAAGAGTACAAGACACGAGAGTGAAAAGAGGCTCAGAGATTGGCAGTGATCCTCATCTAGTAATAATGAGAATGAGAACAGCAAAAGAAAAGGAAGAACAGAGGAGAAAGGTAGTAAATGAAAAAGTAAAAAGCTACAAATTAAAAGAAGATATAAAAAGATATTCCAAGAAAAATTAGACAATATATTGAAACGTGAGGCAAGAACTGCAAGTATAGAAGAAAAATGGGAAAATCTCAAGACCAACTTAATCATAGCTGCTGAGGAAACTTGCGGTAATACAAAAATAGCAAATACTAGTATGAGGAGAACTGAATGGTGGACGGACGAAATACGAAGGAAAATAAAGAACAAAAATGAAAAATGGAAGAGATATCTAGGTACAAAGCGCCCTAAAAGACTATGAGGCATATAAAGAAAAAATAAAAAAAGTTAAAATAGCTGTGAAAGCAGAAAAAGAAAGGTCATGGGAAAAGTTTGGACTAAAAATGACAAATAATTATAAGGAAAATCAAAAACTCTTCTATGGCGCATTAAAACAGCTCAGACAAAAGAAAGAACACATGATGCCGAATATACAAGACAAGAATAGAAAGGTAACAGAAGAAAACCAAATAATGGAAAGATGGAGAGAACATTTCAAAGAGCTTACTCATACAGACGTAGACAACATAGTGGAGATACAAGAAATAAATGAAGAACAAAAAGTAGAACCCATAATAACAGAGGGACTAGAAAAGGCAACTGAAAGAGTTAAATTATGCAAAGCACCAGGCAAGGATCATATCACCCCGGAAATGATAAAATTCATGGGAATAGAGGGAGTGGACAGCATGAAAAAACTAATGAATGATATCATAAAAAGAGCAGAAATACCACAGGACTGGAAGAAAGACATTATACTACCAATACACAAAAAGGGCGACAAGAGAAACTGTAATAATTACCGAGGTATTACTATATCAAGTATTCCTGGAAAGGTATTCGCAAGAATAATAAAAACAAGAATAAAAACCCAAAAAGAACCAACTATGGAAGATACACAATGTGGATTCAGGAAGGACAGAAGGACACAAGACCACATATTCACAATAAGACAAGTAAGTGAGAAAATAATCAATAAAAATGGAGAAATACATATATGCTTTATTGATCTGGAAAAGGCGTTTGACAGAATCGAAAGAAAGGACGTATGGAGGACATTAAAGGAAAGAGGAGTTGACAGGATAACAATTGATGTAATAAAGGATATGTACAATAATAATACAAATACGGTGAGAACCAATAACGAGGAATCCGAAGAATTTACTACAAGTCAAGGCGTCAAACAGGGATGCGTGTTGAGCCCACTGCTGTTCTCAGTGGTACTGGAAGAAGCAATAAAGAAAGCCAAGAGAAGAATGAGAAAACTAACATTACGATACTGGCAAATGAAACAGACTCAACTCTCAGAGCTTCTATTTGCAGACGACATGGTTTTGATAGCAGAAAACAGAGAAGACCTACAGAACAACCTTGAAATCCTAGAAGAACTGACAAACATAAAGATGAAGATAAATACAGAGAAAACAAAAACAATGATAATTTCAAATAAGAGAAAGACACACGAAATACAATTAAACGGAAAACAACTAGAACAAGTGGAATATTTTAAATACCTAGGAGTAATAAGGAGTAATAACTGAATCAAACAAAAACGACAAAAACAAAGATTAACAAAACGAGTATTTGAAACGAGAGTGCAGAGTGGGTAGACGAAAAGAAAAGAAGTTGAGAAGAAAGGATTGACATGGGAAAGTGCACGAAATCTAACACAAGACCGAAAAGCATGGAGACAACAGTGCAAAACTTAACTCCACCAGCCTTACACCTAACGGTAGAAAGGCTTATCTAAGTAAGTAAGAGAATTAACACTGGAAGGTCTCAAAGAATACTCCGACAGATGTCTTTTAGACATAAAAGTTTTGTAAATTTTCTGTTAAATGAAAACACACCCTCAAATACAGCATAAGATACCCTTTGAAATATTCCTGCAATAAAAAAATTCCAAGCAGTTCTATACTTTTTTGAATTTCTATACGAATTTTAAAGTTGTTTCTTCGCACTAGCGAAACGACATTTTTGCTGCAACTAATTGTTTTTTAGTTGGTGAACCAGTGAGCTCTAGCACGTGGTGTGAGGTGTTACTTGTCCGAAAAAAATAGAACAAAATGAACCGACTCCACCAAATGACTCTACTCGACTTAATTTTTTTGTTTGCGCACGTATAGTTACTAAATTACTTGACTAAAATGCTAGCATAGTGTGAACTAACTTATCTCTGATTTGTCATACCAAAGAATATAGACGCTTATAAGCGTCTATATTCTTTGGTCATACATTAGTGACGTTGTGCACTTTTTTGATGGGGAAAAAGCATTGAATATGCGATAGATTTTTGAAACCGTCACCGCTACGTAAAGTAGTCGCAAAGCTAAAGAACGGTTCGACGGATCGTGACGAATGAGGTCTCGTTGGAAGGGGGAGAGGGTGATTAGTACAATGACGGAAAAACAAAGAGCGGCATTCCCAAAAGAGCATTACATCATATTTCCGTTGTTATTGGTTCGATTAGAGCGTGTGATGCGTTAAATGAAAGGTGAGGGGATAACGATTATATTAAGATAGAAAAAAACAACCAAGGCGACTACCAAAAAGACGCTACGAAGCGTCTTTCGTTATTAATGAACGTAAAGTTACATACGAGATATCAATATTCACAAAAAAACTATTAATTTTATTGAGCTCAAATTAATACTTATAATTTCAACGCAATTTAAGAAGTTTTCACTTCTGTCGCCAATCCTCCGAGTGCAATACCTTCTTTTATTTTGCAAATTGTTTTGCAATTTTGTTTAGTAAGAGTTTCCTCTCAGATAATCCTTTTTAAGTTGAATCACTAAAGTATATTTAGCAAATATTTGCATGTCTTTTTATTTCCACGTTGAAATGATTATCAAAGAAATTTTTTTAAGGAACACAGGAAACACTATCTAATGAACGAAAAATTTAATAGAATGATGGATTTTTGGAAAATAAATTAGAAGCTTGCTAAAAACAAACGTGTCGCCCGCTGAGAAGCAGTGATACTTGTCTATTTAATGATTGAATAGCAAATTTGGGTAAGTAGCGGAAAACTGAACTGCCCACATCCAAAATAGTTTTTATTTAATTAAGTATAAGCATCGTCTTTAGAGAGATAAGACATATTTGACCTGTGAGAATTGTGAAATCTGTTTTATTAATATTCTGACAACATCTAGAAGCATGTGTATAATACCTAGTATATATAAACATACGGGCCGGTTTCGATCCCGGTAGACACCACAAATTTCTTAATTATAAATTAACTGAGCCACCACTGTGCTTCGGAGGGCTCGTAAAGCTGTCGATCCCGGCTAAGTAGTTAGCTGCTAGTAGTAAAACCTGAACATGAAGTTTACACAAATTGAAGAAGTACAAAAAAACCAATTGGCTGCCGTACGACCAGTTATAACAAACGGATTTCTTTTTCTTGCTTCTTGTATGTAGGCTTTAAAATGTGTTTCTTCTTCAATATTAGCCTCCTAAATTGTTTAAATTGTCGCACCATCTTTTTCTTGGTCTGCCAATACTTCTTCGTGGTGACTTTGTGGTCCATTTTATGACTTATCTACTGCTATCCGTAGATCTCGCCGCTTTACTTGCTTTTAAGCTTTGTTGTCGTACTTTTTCTTAAACACCTCCGTAACTAGTTACATCTACTCCCAGATATCTAAACCTTGCTTCCTACTTTATTTTCCCATCAATTTCTATTTTACACCGAAGTGGGTATTTAGATGTTGTCATACATTTGGTTTTTTTTCTGCTGATATTATCATATTGCATTTCTTGGCTCTTGTATTGAAGATGTGTTAACCTTTGGAGCTCGTCTTCTGTCTCGGCGATAATGCGGCGTCG